GCGGTCGATTAGAGCGCTGCGGTCGGCTCCCGAGTAGGACAGTAGGGAGTGGGCGCCCTTGGCCCGCCTGACAACGATGACGTTGTCAAATTTGACATGGGCCCGGATAGTGCACTGCAGTGACAGATGCACTGTCGGGGCAAACTTACTCCCCGAGGACAGTCGGCGAACCTTCTCGCGGACTGGGACGTAGTCAACAACTCGGGGGGGGGGCTTCCCTGAAGGACAACTAAGACACATGGGATGATTATCACGCATGGCCTGCCCACGACGAATTCCCTGACCTCGAACACCTGGATGAACAAGGTTACTCTCGCATCTGGGGCTTGGACTACCACCGCCCTGTTTCCCGATTTGGCTATCTGCTAGCCTCTCTCCTCGCTGATCTCCGTGATCGTCTGGGTGCCCTTCCAGCCGTCGCGGTCATCTTTCGTGGCAGATGGTTTGTGGCATTCAGCTCAGTCACCCGCGTGGAAGATCCCGCGGCCGTCTGCTTTGGTTGGTTTTCGCGTCGAGGGCCTCCAGAACCTTGGCCGCGACGGTGGCTTGGGCAATGGCCTCCAGGGCAGTATCCTGGATGCGTCGCCCACGCCCATGACCTGCAACTCCAAGGTTGCCGAGGCGTGGCCCCCGGGGCCAGGTAGCATAGTTGTTTGCCTAGAAATGTATGCACCGTATGGGGGGGGTCCATCGTGGATGGTAAATGCATTAGAGCATTAGAGGCGTCCTGTGTTCCAGCCAGTAGGCTATAACATGCCAAAGGAATAACATGCCTCTTGAGACCTTCTACCATTGCGCGCATGGCTCCGCCACGGACTTCAATGGCGTCGGCATGTTGCCCAGAAGCGCAGATGCGCATTTCGGTCCCCGATGCCTTTAACTGGCCCTTGGCGCCGTCGCGGGCACGGCCTCCTTCGCCGTCGCCGTCGCAAGATTATGTCCTCGCGGCGCGATTGGACTCCGCCCATCAAGTGTAACATGCATCCAAAAACGCGTCGTAGGATGCGTCGGGGGCCTCGCAACCGCCAGCGCCCCTGACGCGCGGGCCGATGACGCGGGCGGCGACGTGCTTTTGGAATATGAACAGGCTGCAGTCCACCTCCTCGTGGTATCGGCCGACCAGACTTCACGAAGGCAAAGCGGCGGTGCCGGGGCGTTCCCATGCACGGCGCCCGCCGCACGCATCAGCAATGGGCTTGATCAAATTGAGCCTGACGTCGTCTCAGCCAACTCGTTGTAGGATCTGACGCATGTGGGGCTCTTCGGCGCGACAGAACCGAAGGCGTCGATTTCTGCATTCCTCGTTGATGACCCGGGGAACAGAACTCCTTGAAGTCTTGAGACTGCACTGGATGTTGAACATGGAGTGCGCTCGGATAAATAGATCTGAATATCGAAGTGAGGCTCGAGCAGCCAGCGGCGTCTGACACGCTGGTGAACTGGCACGGGCGGCGCCTGAACATCTGGGGCAGAGCCGGTCGCGTGAGCGCGATCAGCTCAAGAGATGCCGCACTGCGCATCTCTGCAGTTGGGCCGTGAGTTGCGCGTGGTCGTGGAGGTCTTGGCCGCGCTACCGATCGCCCTGCAGGCGAGGCGGATCCTTCTGGCTCGATGATGTCAGGGGGGCCACACCGTCCTTAGGACCAAAGTGTATTGAACCATCTTGGCCTGTCGGCCAGCTGGAAGGCTGGGCAAACTGGCATTCGCCTGTGATGCAGCTGCGCCCTGAATCTCGCTCATTGTAATCATTATTGCACGCTTCACATGTCCAGTGGACCGAGACCGCGTCATAGTGCCAGCGCGCATGGGGGTCTCTAAAGCGCGAGGGAGCGTTAGCTCGAAAGTGCCTGGCACAGCCGAGACAACCCTGTCCGACCTGTGGAGCCCTACCATGGCGAGGTGACTGAGCGGTCCGAGTCGCCTGGACCGGGTCCACAGCACCAACAGCTACGGTAGGGAATGCGTGGATGTCGGCGAGCACCTGGGAGCTCGAATCTCCTCGAACCGGCTGGCTTTTCGAAGATCACGTCGTCGACGAACACATGGCGCAACTTCGCAGTGCAATGGGCAGCCCTCGTCGCTGCCATCTTTTACGTGAATGGAGATTGTCTTGGGCTTCGTGCCAACTTCCCGACAGGCCTCTTGGGCCTCCCGGCTGGCCACTTGGGCCAAGCCTCTTGGGCCTCCCCGAAGGCCCCATGGGCTTCCCGAGAAGCCACTTGACCTTCCCGAGCGGCCTCATGGGCCTCCTGGCTGGCGTATTGGGCCTCCCGGCTGGCTTCTTGGGCCTCCCGACAAGCCTGTTGGGCCTCCCGACAAACCTCTTGAGCCCCCCAACTGGCCTGTTGGGTCCCCCGACTGGCCTCTTGGGCCCTCCCGACAAGCCCCGTGGGCCTCCCGACTGTTCTCTTGGGCCTCCCGACAAGCCTCTTGGGCCCTCCAGACAGGCCTCTTGGGCTTCCCGACAAGCCTCATGGACCTCCCGACTGGCCTCATTGGGCCTCCCGACAAGCCTCTTGGGCCTCCCGACAGACCTGTTGGGCTTCTGGATAGGCCACTTGGGCCTCCCGACGGGCCTCTTGGGCCTTCTCGGAAATGCTCCTTCGGCCTCCCGACAAGCCTTTCGGGGTTGTCCGAACACCGTATTGTGCCTCCCGACAGGCCTCTAGGGCGACTTCCGAAGGGCCGATTGGGCCTCCCGACAAGCCTCTGGGCTTTTCCGATTGGCCCTCTTACGCCCGCCGACAGGCCTCTTGGGCCTCCCGGGTGGCCCCTTGGGCCTCCCGACAAGCTTCTGAGGCTTTTCCTGGAAGTTTTTTGTGCCTCCCGACAAGCCTCTTGGGCTTCCCGACTGGCCCTTCGGGCCCTCCCGACGGCCCTCTTCGGCCTTCCGAGAAGCTTCTTAAGCATCCCGACAGGCCTCTTGCTTATTCGACAAGCCTCTCGGGCCTCGCGAGCATGCTGAACATGCGCGCTCCTCCATGGGGCCGGGACGATGCATGCATATTGCAGCACTGTAGAAGTCCAGTGGGCAGGTCGCGCTCCTTCAGCGGACGAGCGCCCGTCGACGGATGGTGCGGATGTGTATGTACAGCTACACCTGTGTATGTATAATTGCACCTATACGCCACCTACATCACGCATCGCGTGCGACAGAATAATCAAGATAGCTTCGTGAGTTGTGCCTGCAGGCTTGGTCCTCAATGCGTTAATAACCTGGCATGAAGCCACAGTGCTTCAATCTTACGCCAACTACATGAGCGCGAGCTGGAACCGAATAGCTGTGTTGAGAGACAGTACTAACCTACGATGGTCTACGAGGACCCATCAGCTGTGATTGCTAGACCACGTCGTCCGAAATCCGCTCCTGGAGCCCAGCTCAAAGTAAGCAAACATGACTCGGGGGCATCTTGGATCCCGCTCGGCAGTACTCGTGACATCAGCATCGCACACAAGAAAACGCGATGCACACAAGACAACTCAAGCGAACATCAAACATGAATGCATCTTTTTTTACGCTAGGTAAGAACCCAATTGGGTCTGAGTAGGAACCCAATCGCTTGGAATCCTAGTGTATCTCATGGGATTCCATCAGGAGCCCAGCGGGATGTAATGGGTGACTATACTATTGGGTTGCACTAGGATTCCTGGAAGAACCTACGCAGTAGGAACCCAAGGGCCATAAATCATATTAGATTTCAAGAAAGAGCTATACAATGACCCAGTCGGACTTCCAAAACAAGTAGATTTTGGATTCCAACTGGCTCACAATAGGATGCGAAATTGTATCCCACAAATAAAGACCCGATTGGATGCCAACAAAGTCCCAATCGGAGCCCGAGAAAGAGGAATCCGGATTCAGTTAGAAAGGAAGAACACGATGGCATTCCAATAGGGTTGCCTTGGATCCTGCCAGGAACCGAGTTGCAGTCCAATTGGAAGGAAATACGCTGAATTCCGGTAGGGCTGCTACCATGAGGACGACAATAGATGGAACCCCAGATCAGGCTCCATCCCCGGCAAGAATGTTCGCATGTGATGTGGCTACCGTAGGGACTCGTACGTGCGTTCTGAGCTCAAGCGTCTCCGTTGCCTTTGACATGTGATTCGGGTGGCCCTTCTGCCAGGGATTGAACCTGCTCCTGGGGATTAAGATACTTCTGCTGGGAATTGAACCCTTCTGCCGGGGATTGAACTCATCGCCCCATCCCTCCGCCCCCATCCCCAAAGGCAAAAATATGGCTTCAGAGGCCAAGAACGATAGCCCCGGAGGCTCAAGAAAAAGCCTCCAGGGGCAAAAACACAAGGCGGGGAGGGGGCCAGAAGCAAAAACCAAAGCTACCAACCCACCCGAACGACCCTCACAAGGCAACAACAATATATTAGGCGCAACGAAAAATGAACCCAACAGAACAGCGATCGGGAACGGTAAAGTAAAGCGCCACGCGCGTCGCGCGGCACCTGTTGCGGCGCGCTTGCAAAAACAAAAAACATTAGATATCTGAGCGGGAGAACCAGAAGCCCAGCAACGAGTAGAGTAATGCACGTGGCGCCGCAAGCATGACTGCTTCCGTGTGGATAAGCACCTAGAGAAAACGTCAACACAAGGAGGGAATAATTCCCAAGAGTGGTATGCTGATCGGTGTTCGGCCTTCCCGAACACATTGAAGAATGAACATGGGAAGCACGAAGCAAGCGTCGCAATCCGTTGCAGACATCCAGCCATCAAGCAGAGTGCGCAATAGCAGCAACATCGAATTACCCATGTCACACGGGCACCTATGAGGCTAAACAATTTACGCCACAGACTCTGCGCAGCTGGCATGACCCAACTGTGTATGAGACAGACCTAACGGCTCGGCCCTCGCGAGCCACTGGAAGGGCAACATTATCATGAACACAAACAAGACAGCCAACTCTAGGGAAATCAACGGCGAAAGCCTGCCGCGGGGCACATACGAGATCATTATAAATGGCGACATGTTGAACCGAAAGGGCCACGGAAGGATGAGGAGGAAAAGGAGCAACAGAGCGAGAAGGACAAGAAGAAAAATAGTGGACATGGTGACACGCTTTTGGGACGCTGACGCCACCTCTCACTCCAGGAGGTCCACGCTCTCATCCCCGGCGGCCCCCACACTGGCGGTGCGCCAGCGGCCCGTGCCCGCCAGCGAGGGGCTCCCAGACGCACCTCTGCGCGGCGTGCTCGGGCTGACGGAGGGCTCCACGTCGGCGGGCAGCCGGGGGGCACGATTTCTGCCCACCTTGACCTGGAGAGCTGTGGAGCGGGGGAGCAGCACCGAGAAGGAGGCGGGGAGCCTGAGAATCCGCTTTAATCGATACCCGCCCAAAAGACTCCAGGCCCCACCCTGAGCTCTGTACGCCGTCCTGGAGGTCCCGGCCCCGCCAAAGCTTCCCTGGCCAGAGGGTGCTAACCCCGAAAGGTGGCAAACTCCAAATGCGTGTTTCCCGAGACTGCCAAACTCGAAAACCCATGCAAAGAAACAAGCCCACCCCGCAAAACAATCAAGGAAGTGCAGCTCCTTGCCTGGATCCTTGACCTGGTGAGAACGACGAGGATGAGACCAAACACGGACCAAGACCAAGATCGGCAACAAAGCGCCTCCGCTAAACGCCGCTGCTGCTCTGGCCGCCGCCGCGCAGGCGTCACCACCACCGCTAATTACAGCCACCGCCAGCGCGGCCGCGACTGTGACCTCACCAGCGCCACCGCCACCGACACCAGCACCACACAACCCCACCGACACCGTCTGGCGTGACTGGACTGACTGACCGTCCCCCCCTCCGACCTGCCGGACGGCCACGTCGTGCGCTCCCCGCCGCTGCTCTGGCCGTGACCGCGCGGGCGACCGTGCCCCGTCCCTCGTGCCGGGGCGTGCCGCGGCACCCTTGGACTCGCCCTTGGACTCCCTGCGTGGCGAGCCCGGTCGGGCGCGTCGCGGCTCGCCCTCGATCATCTGCTGCAGCCTGCGCGGCGAAGCTGGGAGGACTGACTCGAGGGCCAGCGCGGCCCTGGGCTCGACACCCTGGCTTTCGGGGTCTGGGCCACCAATTGCTCGAGCCTCCAGGGCCCTGAGGGCAGCCCCGTGCACAGAATCTGCCCATCTCCCCCTTTCGCTCCACTCCCTCTTCCCCTGACCCTTCCCACTCCCGCCCCCCACTTCACCTCCCTCCCCTCGCCCTCCTCTCCTCTCCCCGTCCTCTTCCGCTACCCATCCCCGCCCACGCCAGCCAAATCTCTGAATAGGTCCCCTTGGGGCTGGGGTTCCATGACCCGCTGACTTTGGCTCGGCCACGGGACTCCCAAATGCTGGGCCTCGCATTTCGAGAGCTGCGCGCCAGGGCCGTTCCGCCGCCCCGTGGTCCGAGGCGTGGCCTCGAAAGGCCATGCGGCGTAAAGCCCGTCCCCTCCTCCGTGCCCCCCCCCCACACCAGTCTGCGACATGCCGCAAAAAGGCGCGAATCCCGCCGGCGCAATGGCGCCCCGCGCCCGGTCACGGAGTTTATGCAAGCCTCGAGGAGTTGGCAGAGGCGCTGACCTGCGTGGCGAATTTTGCTACCCCTGCCACTGTCCAGGGTTGGTTGTCGCCCACCGCGGAAAAGGCTGTTTTCCAGTACGGTGGCGAAGCAGCTCCATCGACACTGTGGGCCGTCTGACAATGCGAAATCGCTTCGCACAAGAGTCAATGCATTGGCGCGCGCGTTGCGACCAACTGACAACAAATGGGGCAAAGGACTCGTCCCTAACGGGAGGAGATCAGCCTGCGCGGCAAACTTCCAAGGAACAACCGCCGAGATAAAGACCTTCCAAGCTGTCCAGACTCACCCCCCAGCGGATCGGCCCCCAACGGCTTCGGGGCAGCTTCCTCGATCCCAAGGGAACTGAACAACAAGTACTCCCAGACCATGACACCCCTGGCCCTTCTGGGCCTGTGAACGCCAACGCGTCGGGACATGTCGCGCCCTGGCGCGCCCCCGGGAACCCTCTGGCGAGACAGAACAACGGAGCAAATCATTTGCAAACCTGATCGGGCAAGAACGGGAGGCGCCGACGTTGTCCATCGGGCTCGTAGGGATAAAAAGAAAGGATGACGGTGGCGACGACAAGGCAGCGGATGTCAAGGATGGCAGCATGGGCGAAGGGGAGGGCAGCGACGGGAGCAGCAGGACAACGAAGAGGAAAATATGGAGAAGGACGAGTACGAGGAGGAACGAAGCTGAGGAGGCGGAGCGCACTTCCCTCAGCGGGCCGCGGGATAGTGCCTCGGAAGTGCCGCGCTGCGGATTGACTTTTGACAGTTGTACTTGCCGACCTAACGAGGATCCTCAATCAGCTCGGAACGAAGGATACGAATAGTTAGTAAGCCAAATCCACTAGATCGTGAACTGCACTCACAAACGAATGAATCTATTGGTGCTCTGCGTCCGTCCCCAAACCTGGCCAAAGATAAGGAGGGTCAGCCAGTGGGGTGGACAACTCTTGGAGAACAATGAGGTGGGCAGACGAAGGCAGGAAAAGTAGTAAAGGAACGAGTCGGGACAAGCGGGGTAACCAAAGCGGCAGGGAAGGGGCGTGAGGAGCACAAAAGGGAACTGGGCCTGGAGACGCCTGTGGATCAGTTCCGGCAGTATGTGGGAAGACAGCTCGCGAGAGAGCGCGGACGAACATAGCTCGGGGTCTCCCACCCTGTCCACGACGACCGCGGCGACCACGACACCAACGTCCCACCGCCACCCCACGAACCCCTTGCGGGCCATGGCCGCGCCGCGCCGGAGTCATGGCCGCTCTCCCGGCAGCAACCGCTGCTTGGATGTGAAGATGAAGGAAAACGAGCAATCGGCAAGTGGGGAAAGGGTGACAGAACTGCACAATGCCCCGATCGTTTTTCCGGCAAAGAATCGAGAGCCTACATTGTCGCACTCCCATAAGAATCCGTGAACGTCAGCCCCATCCCACCACCAGTGATAGCACCCTTTCCAATTTTCTAAATTTTTTAAAGTGCTGGTGCTCGCTTTCCAGGCATTGGCCAGCGCATGGATTTGTAGGCTCGCGGGAATGGCCGAAAGCATCCGAAATCTGAAATTTGAAAGGTCACACAAGGCAAAAAAAGCTGGGGGGAAGACGCAACGGCTTGCGCAGGGCATTACATTATGTTCTGCGAATGCGATCACAGAGATGATACAATGTCGGCAAGGTGGTCCAAGACAGAAATGCAGGTGGTCTCAAATAGTCTGATAGCAGCTTCGGTCGGGGATCGAGATTGCGCACCGGCACCACCACTTCTGCCCACCCTCTCCATCGTTCCTCTAGGGACGCGGCTGGGCCTATCTTAACTCCGAGATACTTGTCGAGACCTACGACTTCAAGCTGAGCACAGGCCTGGACCAGAGCAGCAATTTTGAATTCGAGCAAGCGGAGCAGCGACGCATTTTGTGACTTGAAGCGAGAGAGCTGCTAATCTCTGCGCGTGTGAAAAAACGTCGAAGCCAAGTGGAAGCGTAGCACAACTGTTGAATACCACTCCAAGATCGTCGGCTCATGCTCCCAGGGCGGCCGCTTCTCTGGCGGGGAAGGGAAGGGAGAGGCGACGGAGGCGAGGGTCGAAACTCAGAGCCCAAAGAGAACCAGAGAGGGGGCGGCCCTTGGGCGCGCCAGCCGCGATTCTGAACATGGGCAGCACTTGCGAGCCAACAGCAAGGAAGGCGTGAGCACACTCTGAGAGAGCTTGGACGGCCCAGAGGAAACCAAGCGGAAGACAGCTCCGCTCCAGCACTAACCTGAGCCACGTCTCGGGAAGGCAGCTTTCATGTCGAAGCTCAAGAAGTCGAAGTCTGGATCAAGCTCCACATGCGCTATCCCAGCACGGCGGGCCGCCACGTTTATCCTCAGTATGTTGTGTCCGAGGTTCCGTCCTTTCGCAAATCCATGCTGGACCTGATAGGTCCGCTTCGCCGCGCCGCGCCGCAACTAACAATTGAGCGTCGACGCCAACAGCTTGATGTCCAAATCTTGCAGCCAGAGGGGGCGGCGGGACCCGGGCTCCTCAGCGCAATCCACAGTTCCCTCCGGCCCTTCGCCTGTCCAACACGCGATGATTGAGACCTCGCGGGGCAAGGCTCCCTGCCGCGAGGAAGAGCAGGAGGCGAGGGAGGACAATGAGGCAGGCGGGGTGACATTTCCACGCAGCATATGCGAGCTGATCTGCGCCTGGAGCGGATTCTCGAGCTCGCCGCAAACACGCGCGCATGTCGTCTAGAGTGGAAAGAGAAATTGGAAAGCATGGAGGACATGGAGAAGGCGATCAAGGAGCGCTGAAACTCATATTCTGGCATCGGCTTCTCTGTGAAAGATGGCGGCCAGCATGCCTTGAAAGCCTCGGCAATAGGCTTTGGGCCACGTGCCACTTGGGTGTCTGAGCGCGGGTCGCAACTGCGATGTCTAGCCTCAGAGACCCTGGCCCCCTAAAGCACAAGGCAGCGCTATGAGGGATGCCAGAACAGAGCCCTACGAGTAGGATGGAGCCGGAGCTTTTCCTCAGTGCTGAACCTATGTGGAATTCGACCGAAGGCGATTCGCTGCTTCGGTCTGAATCTCCTCGTGCCAGCAGGCGTTCAAGGGTAAGCACTTCCCTCCGGAGCCTATCGGCCTCCTTGAGGGCCACGCGCGCTCCTGCAAGAAGCAACTATGTCTGGCCATCTGTTCAATCTGGTTGGGTCCTCAAGGCGACGCGCGCATCCTGTCGCCAGACCGCACGATCCATCGAACGAAAGGCCATGCATCTACCTTCCGCGTTTTGATCACTCCCGACACCCCTTGGATGCCGCAGAACTTCTCGGCGAGTGAGTGCGACGGCCACGATCGCGCATTCTGTCACGAGAAACCAAACCTTAAGAGAAAGGAAGGAAGACAAGATCGCAACCGCCCAAAGAATTTCCAATAATCACTGGGAACCGAAGGCGTTAACAATGGAGGGCGGGATCTTCCGTTAACGTACTGGCTGCCCTCCGCGAGATTTTAGCGCGAAAGAAAGGATGGCGCGGTCGATCAAGCGCCGCTGGGACAGGTCAACCGCATCCTGGACGAGGTCTAGAAGTCGTTTCAGCTTCAAGGAGAATGTGGAAAGAGAGAGAGAGAGAGAGAGAAACAAAAGAGAGAGAGAGAGAGAGAGAGAGAGAGAGGAAGAGAGAGAGAGAGAGAGAGACGAAGGCAAGGCCAATCGAGGAGATAGAGGAGGTAGAAAAAAAGAGAGAGAGAGAGAGAGAGCTGAGTAAGCAGGTTCGTCGCAATCTCGGTCATCTGACCATTGGAGAGACTCCATCCAGAAGGCCTCGTGGTGGCCAGCTCTCCCAGCGTGAGAAAGCTGCGCCTGCCGATCAGAATAGAACAGCGAATCCCTCGGGTTAACCCGCAACGTCGAAGTCCCCGATCGCGACGGCCAGGCGCTCGGTCTCGTCAGCGCGGACCCAAAAGGGCGTTCACTCGCCGAGCGGCCTTGGCAACAACTCTGTGACAACTGTCAACGTCGTGGTTGTGGATGTTAAGGATCTTGACGGCAGCGCCCGCGGTTGCGTTTTCGATTGATAGCGAGTGAGCACGTAATTGGGCAAGCTCAACGCGCACGAACTTGGGTAACGAATTAACATCATGGGCGGCGAGCTGGCGCTCTGGGCACCGGGAAAGCAGGGCGGCAACGCTTCCCACGCTGGCAGTGGTGCCCATGGCGAAGAAGACGGTATACCCGCAAGGGCACTGGAGTTGGTTGGCGAGCGATTCGCGCGCCCCGAGGGCCTACGGCAGGCAAACGATCGCGCAGCGCTTCCTCTGCTGGGCTAGGCGAGCCAGCGCGAGGCGACGACGGCGCCTGTCACTGCAGACCAAGGCGGTAGCATTCCAAGAGATGACCACGATCTGAGGCCCCCCTGGCTCGATGTCCTCGGGACGCCACCTCGTGACATGATAACAGCCA